CCTTACCTCACTATACCCTCTAATCCAAAAGTGTGATATCATAATCCTTGCTCAATCCCAAGCACATTAAAAGGCCCATTTCAAATCACACTTCAAAAATGTGCAACTTCCAGAGGTTAAGACAGTCTAGAGGTTAAGACTCTGCCTTTCAATGCAGGGGTGGTGGGTTTGATTCCTGGTCAGGGAACTAAGGTCTCAAATGCCCCTATGTGCAGCCAGAATTTTTAAAAAGTGCCACTGATTGTCTCGTGGTTAGGGTTCCATGCTTCCAGGTCAGGGGACACAGGTTTGATTCCTGGTGAGGGAACTAAGATCTCATAAGCTAGGCTGTGCAGTCAAAAATCAAAAATGTCACTAAATATCCCACTAAATGTCCCTCCCACTCTGTGAAGTGAAGTAAAAGTCACTCAGTTATGTCCAACCCTTGGTGACCCCACGGACTATACAGTCCATGGAATTCTCCAGGCCATAATACTTACGTGGGTAGCCATTCCCTTCTCCAGGGGATCTTCACAACCCAGGGATCGATCCCAAGTCTCCCGCATTGCAGGCGGATTCTTTACCAGCTGAGACCTACTAAAGCCCTGTTGAAAATGCTTCTCCTTATCCTGCCAGCAATGCATGACTTTGTCTTATCAATAGAGAGGGCTGGCTTAATGGCAGACCTGCCACCCATGCAGTCACTAGGGACTGTGATGAGAAGGGCAGCCTCATTTGGCCCTACTGTAATAAGATCTCAGTAAACACTAGCTATTAACTCCTATCAATGTCTTAACCCCATTTAACACCAGGAAAACTTTTTCCTCAGGGAACTTGGATTCTGTTCTGATAACTCATCCTGAGTTTGAGGGTTTTTGTGTTTTGTTTTTGTTTTTTTTTTTGAGGGGGGGGACCTATATGCTTCATTCAGAAAGTCATTCATCTCTTCCCCCCAAACTCCTAACTTTTCATATGTGAAAGGTTTAGGCCCCATGTACATGCTGGGCTGATGCCAGGGTTTCACTCTGTGCCCAGAATCCCACTGGTTTTGGGGGAACAGGCCCAACAGAGTGGTCCATGGAACTTCTGGTCTCTATGGACACCATGGCATCTCAGAGGTCTGCTTAGAAGGCTATGGAGCAGAGGGAGGTGCACTTCAGGGTGTCTGCTGCTTGAGGGCAAGAATACTTGCCAGAAGTAGAGAGTCAAGTAAGAAGGGAAAAGAAGGGCTTTCTAGGGAGAGAGAACAGCATTATGATATCATGATTTATAATCAGAAATCTGTATTTCATCTTCATCTGTTCCTGGCACAGAGATGCTAAGATACTTGGAATTTCCTCATCATTGAGGGTGTCTTTGTTATGTCAATGAGGTGACTTTTGAAAAAGCACTGTGTAAGCAAGGAATGGGGCTGGTTGACAAGGGAAACAGCCCCCTGATTAGGGGGTTGGAACTTTCAGTCCCACCTCCTCAACCTCCTGGAGGAGGAAGGGGCCGGAGTCAACCGCCAGTAGTCAATGATTTAATCAATCATGCATGATGCCTCCATTAAAAATACAAAAGAACAGGAGAACCCAGAGGTTTGGGGAAAGTAGAACTCAGAGGCATGAAAGACCTGTGTCCTTTCCCCATACCTGGCCCTATGCACATCTGCCCTCGGGCTGTTCTTAATTGTATCCTTGGTGATAAGCAGTGATCTAATAAGTAAAATGTTTCTCTGACTTTTGTGAGTTAATCTAGCAAATTGATCAGACCCAAAGAGGGGGTCTTGGAACTCCCATCTACAGATGGTTGATCAGAAGCACAGCTGACAACCTGGACTTTGAGCTGGTGTCTGAAGCGGGGAGGCAGTCTTCGGGACTGAGCCCTTCACCTGTGGATGTGATGCTCTCCAGGTAGAGCTGGATGGTGGAACACCCAGCTGGTCCTACAGCTGGGGTCAGAGAATTCCTTGTTGAGGTTTGGAAAAACTGCACACATCACTAGCATGAAAGGGTGTGTTGTCTGCTGGGATGAGAAGCAAGGAGGGAAAACTGAAGAGGTGATAGGTGCAGGTTGGAGGAGACTTGAGAGTTCGGACTGTTCCCAGCCGCTGGAGTTCTTCAGGCTGCGCTGCCTGGCCAGACTGTGCCAGAGGTGGTGGTCAGAGCCTCCCTGAGCCAGATGAGGAGGCTGGTGGGAAGATCAGAGAAGGGTGATGAAGGGTCACCAAGAGGAGGCGGGATGGACAGAGAGAGGCACACAGCACCTAATGAGGAGCAGAGGGTCTCTGGAAGGTTTCTCACCACCAGTTGGAAAAGGCTTTTTCCATTTTCTCGCAGGTAAGCACACAGTGTCTGGTTCAAGATGTGGGGACCCAGGCAAGAAAGAGTAGCTAAAAAACTCTCCCAAGAGGTTGCCTGGAAGAAGCAGGACACTGCTAATTTTGTATTGTTGAAGTTTGTGTGTGTTACCTCTTTTTTTGATCATTTTATTTTTTTAATTAAAAATTTTTTAATTTTATATTGGAGCATAGCTGATTAACAATGTTGTTAGTTTCAAGTCTACAGTAAAGTGATTCAGTTATACATATACATGGATCTATTCTTTTTCAAATTCTTTCCCATTTAGGTTATTACAGAATATTCACCAGAGTCCCTGTGCTATACCATAGGTCCTTATTATCTTCCCAAACTCCCAATCTATCCTTCCCCCCATGTTGCATCTTAATAACAAAATTAATATTAAAAAGATGCAAGCCATTTCTAGGGGCTAGTCTATGTATTTTTCAACTACTTAATTATATTAAGACTTTATTTTTAGAGTTTTAGGTTTATAGCAAAATCGAAGGGAAGATACAGATTTTCAATGTGACCCTAGGTCCCACTCTTGCACAACCCTCTCCATCATCAACACCTCCCACCAATAGTTCACTTGTTACTTGGGATGAAGATGCACTAACATGTCATTATCACCCAGAGTGCACAGGTTACATCAGGGTTCACTCTTGGTTTGGACATCCTGTGTGTTTAGATAAATCTGTGTTGACATGTATGCATCATCACAGGGTCCATGTTGTGGCAAGTCGCTTTAGTCATGTCTGACTCTTTGCAACCCTTATAGGCTGTAGTCCACCAAGCTCCTCTGTCCATGGGATGCTCCAAGCAAGAACACTGGAGTGGGTCGCCGTGCCCTCCTCCAGGGGATCTTCCCAAACCAGGGTCATACAGAGTGGTTTCACTGCTCTAAAAACTCCCTGTGTTCCATCTCTCTTCCTCAACCCCTGGTAACCACTGGTCTTTACTGTCTCCATCATTCTTGCCCTTTCCAGGATGTCTTATGTTGGAATCATACAGGATATAGCCTTTGCAGACTGGTATCTTTCACTTAGGAATGCATTTAAGTTTCCTATCTTTTTATGATTTGATAGCCCTTTTCCATTTAGTGCTGAGTAATGTTCCACTGTCTGGATTGTTGTTTAGTTGCTAAGTCATGTCTGACTCTTTTGTGACTCCATGAACTATAGCCTGCCAGGTTCCTTTGTCCATGGAATTTCCCAGACAAGAACACTGGAGCAGGTTGCCATTTCCTGCTCAAGGGAATCTTCCTGACCCAGGGATCAAACCCTCGTCTCCTGCATTGGCAGTCAGATTCTTTACCACTGAGCCACCAGGGAAGCCCCACTGTCTGGGTGCATCACAGTTTATTTATCCATTCACCTACTGAAGGATATCTTGATTGCTTCCAAGTTTTGGCAGTTATGGATAAAGCTGCTACAAACATTCATATGCAGGTTTTTGTGAGGACATAAGTTTTCCACTTGTTTGGGTAAATAGCAAGGAGCACAATGGTTGGATTGTATGGTAACAGCATATTTAGTTTTGTAAGAAACCACACAACTCTTTTCCAATGTGGCTGCACTATGTTGCATTCCCATAAGCAGTGAATGAGAGCTCCTGTTGCTCCACATACTTCCCAGCATTTGGTGGTGTCGTTGTTCTGGATCTTGGCCATTCTCCTAGGTGTGTAGTAGTGTCTCCTTGTTCTAATTTGTGTTACTTGGTGACATGAGATGTGGAGCATCTTTTCAAATGCATATTTGCCACCCATGTATCTTATTAATATTTGGTAGGCACCTGTTAAGGTCTTTGCCCCATTTCTTAATCAGGTTGTTTTCTTCTTCCTGAGTGTTAGACAGCCCACTGTGTATGTTGGTAAGATACAGATGTGTCTTCCCCTCCTCCTAGTTTCACTGAGAAATAGTTGACACATATCCTTAAGTTGTATCAAAGCATATAGTGTGATGGTAATTCACCAATAGTGTGAAATGATGACCATAAGCTAACATCCGTCATCTCTTTTGCATATATTTTCTTTCAGTCTGTGGCTTGTCCTTTCATCCTCTTGATAGTGAATATATTTTTAGCCTTACAAAATCCAGGAAATCGAACAAATTAACAAGCAGCACGCTTGGGAAGAAAAGTTCCCCAAGAATAGCAGTTAAAAAAGAAAAAAGACTTGAAGGCAGGGCTGCATGGGCTGTGAGGGTCTGCATAGAGTGAGACAGTGGGCTCTGATGGTTGGTTCTGGAAGGCTGAGAGCCCTTGTGCTCCAGCAGTCCCCAGCCCCGAGGGAACCTTAGCAGCCACTGCAGTGGGTCACTGAGCATCATGATAAAATCATGCAGGGAGACAGGGCTGGTGGCTCAGTGGCTGAAGTGTCTCACTCAGGAGAGTTTACCCTCAAGCTGTGAGCCCCTGAAACTTGGATCTGTTGATCCTCAGATGGGATGGGGCCTGGGAATCTGTATTCTAAACACCACTACCCCTGTCCCCCAACCACCACCGACACCAATGTCTCTATCAGGCAAACTCGGGTGCCAACCAGGTGGCCTCCCACTTGACTGCTTTTGCCCATAGACAAGGACCCAGACGTTGTCTCCAGGGCCCAACGGTGTGGAAGGTGCTGGACGTACCCCCACAGCACAGATCAGTCTGAGCCACCCTGCCCAGCTCTACCTACATCAACTCAAGGACAATCAGTTTACCAAACACACAAAAGAAAAATATTTTATTTAAAATAGCCACTTTGGCCTTGACCCAGTCAGGGTTTTCATGACAACTTCGCACGTGCAAAAAAAACCTCTCTCAATGTCATTATGCTGCTACGGGAAGTCTGTAAAAACATTCTTTTTCTTGTCATGGATGCAGGCAGAGCTCTGTCTGCACCCTCAACCAAGGCTAAAGTCATAATCTTTATTAAAAAACAAACACACACACACCCACAAAAACCAAAAACAGACACAATTCAGAAGCTCAGCAGTACAAAGAGGCAGAAAGTGCTTAGTAAACCTGAGAAAAAGACCAAGGTTCAAAAAGTGCCTGAGAAGAGAGGGGCTAGGCTGAGCTCATAGCCCCTGTGCAGGCTGAGGTCATCCAGCGGTGCCTGGGAAATGAGGGTAGATAATCTCTAACTACACTGACACACAGAGAGAACCCACAGGAGCCCCACCACGTGTAAGAGGAACGCACTTCTGTCTTGCTCTCATATGAGGCAGGAACCCCTTCTGGAGTTCAGAAAGGGGCTTTATTCTACTGGTTCTACTGCTCTGAACTCCACCCACCCAGCTAGACTGACCTGACTGAGAAAGGAGATGCTGCTGTTTGCCAGCCTCTGGGCACAAGAACGAGTCCCTCCCCTGCCCACACCTGTTCCCCACTCACAGGAACACTTTCACCCATCTACAGAGATGGGGTGGGGAGCAGAGGGAGGGAATGGAAATAGGTGCATCTTCGGGGTGGTTTTCAGAAGAGCAGACAGCACAGCAGAGGTGTGGGGAAACCCAGGTCTCAGGCTCGTCCTTAGAGGCCACGCCCAGCAGGCAGCAGTGTTGCACCATCTGATCCAAGGCCTCTGGGGCCCCCTTGAGAACTGGAGGTAGTCTAGCATCATTCTCCCCGGGAGCCCATACTCTAACTCACCCATGACTGATTTTCTCCTTTGCATCAGCAACTTCCTGAATTTCTGCTCCGTTCTAGGAGGTAATGTGAGGCTCTTTACCCTCTGGGCACCCAAGGTGTGCTGTAACATCCTTAGGGGAACACCAACTCCCCCAACGTAGGCCATTCCTGTAAGCAGACTGCCCTCCTGCCAAGCAGCCCGGAACTTTCTCTGAATCCTAAAGGGATGTTCACCCCTTGCTGATTTTCATAAAATCTTTTTAAAAAAGGAAACCCAACAAGAGCGTTTTCGACCTAGTTCTGTAGAGGACTCTTCCTTCCAGTCTCTTCCTGTTACAGATTTTGCTTTTGAGAGTAAAAGAGGGATCAAGAGTAGCAGTGGCTTTGATTTTAATCCAGAACCATTTTACGGGTTTAGAACATCTCTGCAGTTATGCAGAGTGCTGTGGGACCTACCGGAGGGGCATCTAAGGGAGGGGTAGCACTTGTTGAGTTAAGTTCGACTCCTCCTCCTCAAGCCCAGCCCCGTCCCAGTGACAGGTACACCTCCCTTCTCAGCCAGTGGCTTCTGTGACTTAACAGAGAAACTGTTTTCTGACCTAAAGAGGAAAGGGTTGGTGGAAGAGTCATAGATGATAGAGTTAATGGATGCTTCTTTTACATTCTTTTTCTTTCAAATGACCCCAGGATGCATGTGTCATGCCCGCCAACCAATTCCCCTAACTTTCCCCTTCAGGGAAAAATCAGTATTTGGGTGATTTCCTAACTCTCTGGTTGCCTTTCCTATAAAAAATTAACCTAGAAAGTGAGTAAATCAGCAATCTCCAGGCAAGAATTACCGGAGTGGGTAGCCATTCCCTTATCCAGGGCTCCATCCCTGGGTCTCCTGCATTGCAGGCAGATTCTTTACCTTCTGAGCCACCAGGGAAGCCCAATCCTTCCCCAACGTTAAGTGTCTCATGGAGGCAGGAGTCTGGATCCTGGCCACACCATCTCCATCAAGGGCAGGGAGCCCATGGACACAATTCAGGAGGCCCCTGCAGACTGGCCATCCTGAGCCGCTGCGTGCAGCTGTGCCCATGCTGGTCACTAGGGAACCTCCTGGTTCAAGGTAACTGACCCTTGCATTGACCAGTAAAGCCATCCAGGAAAAGCCAGGCTCTCAGGGGAATCCCGACGCTCTGACAAACCGGGAATCTGCTCTGTATTATCTTGGTGGGGGCTCCTTTCTTTGGCACCCTAACAGTTTATTGAGGATGGGTGCACGGTTGTACATGTATCTCTTGGTGCCTTTCGCACCCGTGTGGGTCCCTCTGACTGTAAACAGTGCCGTGTGGGCAGGGGCCCCAGATTCCTGGACCACAAGGCGAACTGGCAGTGCTCATGAACCACTGGTTTCCCTGAATCTCAGTGCAACCCTCGTGCTGACGGATCCCCCCCAGTGCCGAAGGACGCGGCGTGAGGGGGACGTGCCTGAGGGTCGAGGAGGTAGACAAGTTGAGTTTGCGCTGCTCCCCACGGGGGTCAGGAGCTGCAACGGCAGGAGGCCCCAGGTCGGCCGCACCCACGCCCGGAACTAGGAGGGAAGCAGCTCAGGTGCTTGGAAGTTCGTTTGGGGTTCTCCTGGGCCTCTGAGACTCGCTCTTGGAGGGCGCAGGGGCCTTGGGAGGGCCGGCCAGGCTCTCAGCGGCGGGAGGCTGAGGGGTGCAGCAACAGCAGAGAGACAGGAGTCGGGTCCTGACCGCGCGGGTGCAGAAGACGAACATGATGCAGTTGGCGCCTCCCTGGAAAGTGTTCCCGATGCCCTGGTGGGGAGAAAGGAAGACAAGTGAGTACCAGGGCTGAGCGGGTCTGAGCAACACACTCAGGGAGGAGCAGGGGACCCAGGACCTCGTCTCCATCTCTGGGGGCTGGTCCCTGGGGACCCTGGCCACCAGGACCCCCGACAGAGCAACAGCAGGCCTGAATTTGAAGGCGTGCCTTGAGTCTTCTGGGTTTGGAAGGGCTAAGGGTCAGTCCACTGTCCTGGGGTTACTCCTAGGCCATGGGACAGCAACTCAATGCCCACGGGCTGCCCTGGAGCCATGCTGACCTTCCACCTTCTCTCGTCAAGGCTCCCTGTCAGGCAGGGCATGAGGAGGGCGCAGGGGAGCAGGGCCCCCCCACCCGCCCACGCTGGACGGAGCGTTAGGGCCTGCCTGCCCCCTTGACCCTGCGGCCGGCTGGGTAGGGGAGGGCAGACCTACGTGCAAAACCACCAGTAAGGGCATCCGCACCGCCGGGGAGCCACAGAGGGTCAGGACGAAGCGCACGGTGCTCCAGACCCGGAGGCAAATGAAGATGAGCGGGATGAGGACCAGCTTCTTATCGGCCACGGAGGTGTGGCGCTGGAGCCGGTGCACTTCGGAGACGATGGGTCGGTACTCTGAGAGCTCCTCGCGCTGTGCGGGAAGGCAGAGAGCAGACTTGAGGTTAGCGATGTGAGCTGGGGCCCTCCTCCCCACTCCCTCCCCTGCCCATGGGTTGCTGTCTCCCCGCTTCCGGGGACACACACTGGCTGGAGCGGGAGGACATGAGGCATGCAGTCAGTGCCTAAGGCTGGCAGCCCAGGTTCCATCTCTGGCCCGTCTTATCCATCCACTGGCCACTCCACATCCTCACGTGGGTGTCTAAAGCATGTCAGAAGCCTCTCATGTTCACAACAGATGCCTGACCTCGCCCCCAAGCCCTCTGCCTGCTTCCCCACCTCAGCTAACAGGAGCCCTGTCCTTCCAGCTGCCTGGGCCCCAAGCTTGGGAGTGGTCTTTGGTTCTTGTCTCCGTGCGACAGCTCACGTCCGCCCCAAAAGCAAGCCCTGCAGGTCCTGCCTTCAAAACAGACCCAGACCTGGAAGTTCTGTCCACGGTCACTGCCACCAGCCAGGTCCAGGCACCACCAACACTTCTCTGGACGGTTGCCACTGCCTCTTCACTGGTCTCCCTCCGTTGACCTGACCACCCCAACCTCCTCCCCACCGCAATGTCACTCTCAACACAAATGCAGTGTGGTTCCTTGAAAACCAGTGTTCATTACTGCAGTATTTGCAACAGCCAGGACACGGAAGCAACCTAGAAGTCCACTGACAGATGAATGGATAAAGATGTGGTACATATACACAATAGAATATTACTCAACCATAAAAAACTCTGAGTCAGTTCTACTGAGGTGGATGAACCTAGAGCCTGCTATACAGACTGAAGTAAGTCAGAAAGAGAAAAACAAATATCATATACTAACACATATATAGGGAATCTAAAAAAATGGTACTGATGAACCTATTTGCAGGGCAGCAGTGGAGACGAAGATACAGAGAACAGACTTGTGGACACAGTGAGGGAAGGAGAGAGTGGGACAAACAGAGAAAGTAGCATCAACATATATACACTATCAGGCATAAGACAGACAAAAGCGCTAGTCACTCAGTCATATCTGACTCTTTGTGACCCCATGGACTGTAGCCTGCCACGCTCCTCTGTCCATGGGATTTCCCAAGGCAAAAATGCTGGAGCGGGTAGCCGTTCCCTTCTCCAGGGGATCTTCCTGACCCAGGGATCCAGGTCTCCTGCATGGCAGGCAGATTCTTTACCGTCTGAGCCTCCAGGGAAGCCCCCATAAGCTGGATGGCTGGTGAGAAGTTGCCGGATAGCACAGGGAGCCCCGTGTGGTGCTCTGTGGTGGGGGACGGGAGGGCAGGGAGGCTATGGAGGGAGGGGATGTGTGTACAATTATGTCCAATTCACATTGCTGTATGGCAGAAACCAACACGACATTGTAAAAATTAAAACAACAACAGACCTAAGTCAGATCAAGCCAGTCTTCCACTCCAAGCTCTTGGTGACTCCTCATTTTGCACGTTCCTTACAAAATTCCCAACTCTAGCTCTCTCTGACCTCATTCCTGCCACATTCCTCATGTTTATTCTGCTCCAGCCACACAGACCTCCTAATCCTCCAAACATGCCAGGCACACCCCACCCCTGGGCCTCTGCACAAGCTCCCTCCCACATACATGCCCCATCAGTTCAGTTCAGTTGCTCAGTTGTGTCCGATTCTTTGTGACCCCATGGACTGCAGCATGCCAGGCCTCCCTGTCCATCACCAACTCCGGGAGTTTACCCAAACTCATGTCCATTGAGTCGGTGATGCCATCTAACCATCTCATCCTCTCTCATCCCCTTCTCCTCCTGCCTTCAATCTTTGCCAACATCAGTGTCTTTTCAAATGAGTCAGCTCTTCCCATCAGGTGGCCAAACCGCCAAAAAAAAAAAAAAAAAAAGACACAGGCAAGAGCTGCAGCTGGGGGTGGGGGGGATGGGGGGAGTCCTGGGCAGAGCCTGGTGGGCTCCTGGGAACTTCCATCTGGGAGCCCTGGAACCCTCCTAGGGCAGTAGGAAAGAGGGGGTGAGAAGGGCACCCCCAGCCCAGACAGAAGACCAACTAAAAAGCCCTTCAAAGACCGAGAGGATCTCAGACCCATTGGTACACCTGCCAGCATCTCTGTCAGTGACTCCAAGCTGAGCCACAAGAGGGCGGCAGGGAGGAGTGAGAACCAGGTAGATTTTCAAGTAAAAAGAAAACCCGAAGTGCGTGTTTCAGGAGACAGACAGGAGTACAGCGTGGGGATCAGGTCTCAGACAGCTGCGAGGAGCACCTTACACACTTGGAAATGGCCATTGAGCCTGCAGCACACTCGAAAGATGGGGACATTCTCCCCTATAATTTCAGCCTTGAAAACGCAGAGCAAAACAGAAAGACAGGCACCACATCAGCAGGCTGAGCTAGGAAATCTGTCCCCAGAGCTTTCACTCTGCTACCGCTCCAGCCACGTGCCGTATTTTATCTTCCATCGTAGTTACACCTCTGCCTCCTCCTAGGAGTGCAGGAACCAGGCTTGAATTCTCATTAGAAACTCCCATTGCCACACAGAACTTTTATGTATAGTAGATGCTCAATAAAAATGCACTGAATGAATGCTTGAGCAAATCAATGGATGGGCTAATCTGAGCACTTCTGGGGTAGTAGTTTGCACATGACTGGCTTCCCTGCTGGGTCAGCAGTAAAGAATCCATCTGCCAATGCAGATGTGGTTTCGATCCCTGGGTTGGGAAGATCCCCCGGAGAAGGGAATGGCAACCCACTCCAGGATTCTCACCTGGGAAATCCTATGGACAGCGGAGCCTGGCTACAGGCGGCGTACAGTCCATGGGGTGGCAAAAGAGTCAGACACAACTTAGTGACTTAACAATCACAACAAGGACTTGGACGTGGCTAGGAGAAAGCCTGTACTTTACATCTGCAGAAACGAACTGGTAGTCCAGCACAAGGAACAATTCGGTCAGATTATCAGAGGGAAAGCATTCTTTCCGAAAATTTCTGGCCAGAACTAGCAGACTTCTGATCAGCCCAGTCTATTGAATTCCTGAGAGCCCGAAAAATCTACCACTTAGGATATTTTAATCACCAAGAATAAGAAGTGAATTATTTGTATCACTGATAACGGAAGTCTGTGGCCTCCCCTCCCCTCCTCGGGGCGGGGCGGTGTGCGGGTGGGGCCCTGCTGGGTCAATTCTTATTTGGCTAGTGCTCATCTGCACGCAAGCATCTTTCATTCAGGTTCCTTTCAAGGTTAAACAACTGCATGGGTCTGTCCAGGAGGGGGCAGTAGAGACCTGTGGCCCAGACCGCAGGCTGCGCTCGTAGCCTCTTTAATTCCAGACACTAGGAGTCTGGGGAGCCCCTTAACCTTGGTGAGCCTTGTTTCCTTATCCACAAACGAAGGAATAAAAGGACCCGCCCCGACGGGGCTGTGTAATTAGCAAACAAGACAACCCACGGTGCTTATAAAATTCGGCATGCGTCACGGTGAGTGATGCAGAACAAACCCTCCCTCACTCTCGCCGGTCACTGGTCCTTCCCCTGAGGTGGCCGGCCCCGACGCCGGGCCACACGGGCCACACAGAGCTCAGGCGGGCCCCCCGGGGGCACCTACCGCCCGGTGAATGTGCTTCCGGATGAGGAGGTAGAGCACGGGCAGGGTGGCGTAGGCCAGCAGCTCCCACAGCTTCCCGGTCAGCAGCATCCACAGCACCCGGTCCTCCGCCTCCAGGTTGATCCAGCACCAGCCCACCGACACGTCCGAGGCGTCGTAGCCGATCTTCTTTAGAGCCACGGCTGCCACGGTGATGGCCAGCGGAACCCCCCAGCTGAGGAGTAAGGAGCAAACAGGACGCGGTGAGGTCAGACCCAGCTCCCAGCAAAGCCAGGAAGGGCGAAGAGACCCGGGATGCTGTGCAGACAGGGCCAGTGCTCTCCCAAGGCCGCAGCAGACAGGGTCCCTGGAGAGCAGAGGGGCGGGAGTCCTCAAAGCCCCCAATCCAGCCCTGCTCTGCCCAAGCCCAGGAAAGGGGACACGGGATGTCCTGGCCTCCCACCTGGACACACACAGCCTCCCAAGCGCTCGGAGGCTGGGTTCTAATTCAGAATTGCCAGGCTCCTCAGAGCCTAGGATGCTATAGCACTCTCACTTCCCTGGTGGCTCAGATGGTAAAGCGTCTGCCTACAGTGTGGGAGACAGGGGTTTGATCCCTGGGTCAGGAAGATCCTCTGGAGAAGGAAATGGCAACCCACTCTAGTACTTTTACCTGGAAAATCCTGTGGACAGAGGAGTCTGGTACTCTACAGTCCATGGGGTCGCAAAGAGTCGGACACAACTGAGTGACTAAAATCACACACCATAGCACCGGAACAGCCAGCTCCTTCCTGCATCGGGAGAACTGGGCACCAACCTGCAAACATCAGCCCACGTGGCCAAATATCATCCAGACACTCCACTAGCAGACAGGCCCCTGGGTCCGGGAGTGCACACATACACTGGCGGCTTGGGGCTGTCAGGATCCTGTGCAGCTGCAGCAGAAACTAGAAGAGGGGGCAGGCTCTAGGCAGACATGTCTACATGGGCCCTGGCAAGGATCCAGGTGTGTTAGTCGCTCAGTCCTGTCTGACTCTTTGCGACCCCGTGGACTGTAGCCTGCCAGGCTACTCTGTTCATGAAATTCTCCAGGCAAGAATACTGGAGTGGGTAGCCATTCCCTTCTCCAGGGGATCTTCCCAACCTGGGGATCAAACCCAAGTCTCCTGCATCGCTGCCAGATTCTTTACCATCTAAGCCACCAGAGAAGCCCAAGGAGACCCTCTAAAGCATAGAGCAGGGGCAGAGCACCCTCTCAAGGCAGTGCTTGATGGACTTTTCTAGAGTTTAACACAATGGCAACACAGCCCAGATTAGGGCCGAGCCCCAAGGCCCCTCCCCGGTGGTCCCCACACCAGTCTCCCCCAAAAACCTTTCAAATCGGTGAGAGGGACACAAACAAGCTAACATGGAGGCCTGCAGGGTGCTTAAGAGCTTGGACGGCGATGCAACAGGCTGGGTCCAAGTCTCGGGCCTGCCCCGCGTGGCTGCAACACATCAGTGTTTTTCTGCACCAAGTGGGGATAATCACGGTGCCTGGAGCAGAGCATTGCAGTCAGTCATTACCAGAATAAATACTGATCAGCGTGAGGTGTGCACACGGGACAGGGTGTGTCCATGTTTATGTCAGGCAGGCTCATCCCTAGGTTCCAGGATCCAGGATCCAGGATCCAGTCCTGCAGTGCAGGCACCAGGGAGTTGTGAGGCCTGTGACCCCAGGAGGACACAGAGGCCTATGTCCCAGGTCAGCTGCCCAGTGACCAGGACAGTGTCACTAGAAAAACACCTAATGCGGGAAGCAGTTCTACCTCAAGGGCTCTGTGTAAGGGATGTCGGCTCTTTCTGAAAGTCATAGAACAATGATGTGATCCCAGTTGCACTTGGTCTGTTACCAAAAGGAGGCTAGAAGAACTGTGTTTCTATCAAGGTCTCCAAAGGCTGCAGGATCAGGGAGGAGGCAGGGCAGGGATGGTGATGGGAGAAAGTCAGCTCCCTGGGCCTGGGGCAGGTTTGGTGTCCATCCTCCGCTGACCTCTGCAGGGGCCCCACAGCCCTGCAGCTCCGGCTGTCCAGAGGCAGAAGTGACACGTCCCCCTTGAAGGCACAGAGGCACACAGGAGGAGCCAAAACTCCACTCAAATCAAAGGATTATGGGATTATTATGCTACACTTACAATGGAGTGTGCTATTTTTTTTTTTTAACTTTATTTGTGGTTGCACTGGGTCTTGGTTGCTGCGAGAGGGATTTCTCGGTTGTGATTGGCGGGGGCTACTCTCTAGTTGCGGTGCAGTGGCTTCTCTTGTTGTGGAGAAGGGCTCCAGGGTGCAGACTCTAGAGTGCAGACTCAGGAGTTGTGGCACATGGGCTTAGTTGCTCTGTGGCATGTGGGATCTTCCTGAACCAGGGATCGAACCCATGTCTCCTGCATTGGCAGGAGGATTCTTAATCACTTGACCACCAGGGAAGCCAAATGCTTGTCCTGTGAAGAATTATTGATCTATTAAGTTAATATATATTATTATCAAACTATTTTGTCTTAATAAAAGTTTCCCATTTTAAAACTCAAGCCATTGTAAATAGTACTGCAATGAACACTGTTGTATGGCAGAAACCAACACAACATTGTAAAGCAATTATCCTCCAATTTTAAAAAAACAACCTCACGCCATCCTAGTAGAGGACAACATGTGTCCACTGTGAGCTCCAGAAGGCGATGGCCATGTGGGCTCACTGCTCCATCTCAGCATCCACACCAGTGCCTGGCATGTGGCGGGGCAAAACTAGGACCTCCTGAATGAATGAAGTATGAGTGCAGTGGCCAAGACAGCTTTTCCCAATTTACTCCTTAAATGTTCACGCAAGGACATTACTGAAAGGAGGTGAAAGGCGCTTAAAGCAGCAGTCTCCAACCTTTTTGGCACCAGGCACTGGTTTCATGCAGACAATTTTTCCACAGACTGAGGGGTAGGGGAGCATGGTTTTGGGATGTGATGTTGGAGAAGACTGTTGAGTGTCCCTTGGACAGCACGGAGATCAAACCAGTCAATCCTACAGGAAATCAACCCTGAATATTCATTGGAAGGACTGATGCTGAAGCTGAAGCTCCAATACTTTGGCCACCTGATGTGAAGAACTGACTCATCAGAAGACCCTGGTGCTGGGGAAGATTGAAGGCAGGAGGAGAAGAGGATGACAGAGGATGGCAACATCGACTCAAGGGACAAGAGACTGAGCAAGCTCCAGAAGACAGTGAAAGGCAGAGAAGCCTGGAGTGCTGCAGTTCATGGGGTCACAAAGTGTCAAGACACAACTTAGCGACTGAACAACAAAACACGTTACATGCATTGTGCGCTTTATTTCTATTATGGTTACAGCAGCTCCACCTCAGATCATCAAGCATTAGATCCCAGAGGTTGGGGACCCCTGTTAAAGGGCTGAACCAGAAATCCTGAAGTTAGAGGTGAGAGAGCAGTGAGTCAAGACCATCCCCCAGCAGGACGGGAGCCAGGGATTCCCATCCTGGGGGGGAAGACAGCACAGGCTTGGCAGGAGGAAGCTGCCTCCTTCCCTCCTCAGCCTCCCCAGGGCCCCCAAAGGAAACCTGGGGACCACAGGGTGACATTTCCAGGTTTTACAACTTTTGGTCTGACAGACAAAAGCTACAACGTGATGTCTCTCCTCTGTGTGACTGGGGTGTGCCTGGAGCTGAGTCTGTGCTGGAAAACAGCCAGAGGGAAGACCAAATAGACAAAAGGTTTTGAAAGGGCTGAGACTGTGGGTTGATCAATCAGAGTCACTCTTTGAACTTGAGCCCAGACAGCAGCTTTACTGGAGCCAGAAGCTGCCTGGGAGGTACCTGGGTGGAGGTGGGAAAAGGAGTGATCTCAGGGAGCGTGGGAAGGGAATGGGTGGGATGGTCTAATCACCCTGCCAAGCAGGCTCCACCAGATGCGTAATTTATAGGTAAAGACACTGGCGTGTTGGTAATGTTTTAACATCAGAAAGACGTCTGCATACACACACACACACACACACACACACACACACACACACACACACAAACTGATTATGAGTTTTACTAATATAAAGTAAAAGGTATGGAAACCAAGGGGAGCAAGGGAGAGTGCAATGAATTGACAGATTGGGATTTACATATTTACACGATTGATACTTTATATAAAATAGACCGGCTTCCCAGGTGGCCCAGTCAGTAAAGAATCCACCTATGGATGCAAGAGACACCAGAGACACGGGTTTGATCCCTGGATTGAACCCCTGGAGAAAAATGGCAACCTGCTCCAGTAGTCTTGCTTGGGAAATCCCATGGACAGAGCTCCATGGGGTTGCAGAAGAGTCAGACAGGACTTAGCGACTAAACAACAACACATAAAATAGATAACTAATGAGAACCTATGGTGTAGCTCAGGGAACTCTACTCAGGGCTCTGGGATGACCTGTGCGAAGAAAATCCAAAAAAGGGAATACATGTGTATTTAGAGCTGATTCACGTTGCTGTAAGCAGAAACTAACACATCGATCGTAATGTGAGAAACACACTCACCAGCCCAAACTCAAATGAATGGTCTTGGAGACACAATGTGCAGCGGGAAGTGAGGCTTTAATGATGGTCTTGCAAGATCATCTAGTGGGTGTCTGGTGGGCAGGTTCACCCAGAGTCGCTACACGGATCAAGTTATCCGCAAGTTATCCCTAGCATGCAAGTCCCTCCTCCAGTTCCTCACTGGCTGAATACTGTGGGGTGAACAATCTTCCTAGATGTCGCCTAGGTTTACTTCCTCTCTCTTTATGGGCTGGCCCCTCACTGACATCTTGTTTCCTCCTTTCCTGCACACCTATTTCTGTTCTTTTGTTTTGAATTCACCAATAGAATGAGCCAGCGTGAAAAGCCTAGGCACCCCACCCTTCCTCTGTTTCCCTGGATTTTTTAGTTTTGTAACTATTGCATCAGCAAGCTGTCACTCAAAACTAGCTATTCTTGAAAATGGACCACTTTAAGTTCTTTATTTCTTGCAGTAAAGCAACCATACTTCACTGTTTTTTTTTTTAAACGATGTGAGGCGAGGCACACAATCTGTAAATAATAATAAAATATACAATACTCCTCATTGTACACTCCATACAGTCAACTGATTCTCACAGGATGCTCTTGTTGACTTTTTCCAAACTCTGGTATCCGCAGCCAACTTGTGGTTGCAGTTAGCCAATGAGAGTAG